AATGCTTGAACGTCACCCTTTTGAACTAGTCCAATTGCTTTAATGTTAGGTTCTACTTTTTAAATTGCATCTGAGGCAGAAATTTAGCAAATTGATTGATCCAGTTGGTACCGTCTGGAACTATGACTTCTTTGTTCAAATTTTCCAAGTACTTGGTAAAAAAATACATGACTTGCGATATGATTTGACCCTTTTCGTCTTAGGAATGGGCAATATGAGACAAGCATTGGAAAACGTGATAAGTAAGCTTTTTCTTGCATTAAGGAACCAATGGTTCATTTTGGCAACTCACATTTACTTATTGGCCAACAACCCAATTCTGAAACCATAATAAGTTATGAGCACCAAAGACCCCTTGAGATCCGTCCCCCTTTTGGTCATTCTAGTCCCCATCGTCATAGGGCCATAAATGGCGGAAGAATGACCAATAGTTGACCCTTGATAACTCCCCAAAGTGTTTTTACCTACCCACCCGCTAAATACTTCACTCTTTCTCCCCAAACTCGATGTTCGCGCTATTTGTCAAGTCCAATTTGGCCGGACAGAAGCAATGTGGCTAGACCGAGGGGACAGGCCCTCTGTCGGCGGCGAAGTCTAATTCGTCCCATCCGTCCTCCCGTGTCCTCGCTATCACGCACAATGGTGTTTGCGGAAAAAGCAACTGCCACTCAACTGTAGCAACTATTGGTGTGACTTGGCAAGCAGGGGACGGGGTCCGTAAACCCCCTCACTCCCTAAGGAAGGCCTAGTATGGGAGAACCCGTTGGCCTACCGTGTTAAAGCGAACAAAGATGAAGGTTTACAGTTTCAATCTTTGCGGAACTACCTTCACATGGCGTGCCACAGTTTACGAGTAAACTTTTTTTTATAGTTTGTATGATAAAGCACTCTACATAAACCCAGCTACAATAAAATATAAAAAAGCAGATGAAGCCAGATGGAACTATGTGGCCGACTGTGGTGCAGTCGACTGATGGTGATGATATTTGACTGAAGAGGAATAAGAAGAAGCGCTTGTCATCCGAAAAGATGAGATCAAAACAATTTTACAAACTCAATGATTAATGCAAAAGTTGTACTTTGGCATATTACTGGGCGCGTTCCTACAAAATTGATGGAACGAAAAAGACAATGAGCGGCTGTCAGAGAGCAAATTTGATCCCGGCACCTACCGGCTGTCAATAATTTAGCGGGTCGCACCCCACCCATCTTTTCAAAGAGGTACCCTTCAGCCTCAGGGCCCCGTCTTTAGTCCTGTTTATACCTAGCCTAAAAGTTACGGTAACAATACAGACATTACAACCATCAGACCTCCGTTGGTCTGCAACAGGGGAAATTCAATTTACCAAAATTTTGCACCATTGTTAATGATCCAGTCCCCTAGAAACATCCGCGAAAAAAGACGCGCCAATAATGCAAATGAGTTGCAACGGAGTCCTAAAGGCGCCATTTGTAACTGTGAGTGTATGTTTCAAATCATGCTCAATCTTAGGTCCAGACTGTGCTTTCCTGCTGCCGAGGCCGCTTAATTAGAAGGGGTAACTATCAATTTAATTGGTCAATTGATTAGTGGTAATTAAGGTAACGGGAGCCAAGGGACCTGCTGTGGTTTTTAGATGACGGCCTGACTATAACTTCATGGAAGTGAGGGGCGGCAATAGAATCACACCCAGTCTACTACAAGTACTAGATTTTATAAGTGAGTTTATTTGGTTTGGTTTTGGCTGTACTGCGAAGATTTATCTCACGCAACCTATGGTTTAGTCTATGGAACTTGACACTTGCAAAGCAAGCGTCTATGATATAGCGAGCAGTTTCGGCGATTAATTATGCAAAACAAGACCGCGTTTTGATTTGCAGATTCTGACCAATCAGCGGGCGCCTTCTATCGGGTCTTTGGTAACTCGTTGTTGTATGACAAAAACATGGCAGTCATTTGACCAATCAACAGCTTAGGCCGAATTTCTGCTGTAAATGACGTCTCAGTTTCTAAAGTCGACTCCGATTGGCTGGCGCGTGGGGTCGCATACAATTTGCACGCTCATATACATCAAACGTTGCGGGCTTCGTTGAACAACGGATGATACTCTCAATGACGCGGCTTACATGTTTCGTTATCATCGTTTAGGTATTGCAAAGGTACACAAAGTCTCAAATGAAGTAGCATTGTGACATCCTTTAATTTCTGACAACCAGATAGACTATACCTGTTAAACCTGCCTGGAAATCCGTCAGATTAAAACTGAAAGCACTTAACAATTCCACCTGTTTTCTCAGCCAATTTGTCTACGATTTATTTCCTTTTTGAACAGGTGGCAAGCCTTAAGTGCAGGTTAACAGGGGGCGTTGGATGGGTGAATGACCAGCTATTTGAAATGTACACTGAGCTTTAAACTGAGTTTTAGGAAACTTACAGATGATATACTGTCAAAAAGATTTTTTTGGGGGGGGGGGGTCAAAACATGAATATAGTTTTAAAATTGATATTAAGTGACGATAAGGACGTCTTTGAATTATGTTGTCTTCTTCCATTATATGTCAATAGGTAATGTCGTCAGAGCCAGGAGCCGTTTTCTTGTTACTGCATTCAACTCACTGCTTTTGAAACAAGGAGTGATAATACGTGGGCAGATAGGTAGGATTTGCTCTGCTAGTTGTTCAAACGCCACCTCGGTAGTTCGAATTATTTTCTACCCGTTTAGGGGAGGACCCAGGCGTTTAGGTATAAACAATAACCATAGAGGTAATTGTCTTTAAAATCTGGCAAATATCATTGTTTCTTGTGCTAGACTTTTTGCCACACCCAGAAGTTCCTTCATTTTGAGTTTGTTCCTGGTTAATAACAATAACTAGTGCATCTCCTGACAAACTTTGAACAGCCTATACAAGCTGTTATTTCGCAAGCACAACTAAGTCTGGGAAGTGTTACAAAGTGTGTACTTCCCATATCATGTAGAACACTAACAGCTACCGATCACAACAGGGACTTCTGACGGTGAATTGCAAGATGTACCAGGACAAATCCACAGCTGGTTTGCAGCCAACATTAACCAGCAGCTAATGTTGGAGGCCTTAATCATCAGCCACCTCACTGACTAACAAATTCACACCAGGACGGGACAAGGATATTCAATTTGTTCTCGTTTCCGATTCCATTGAAAAAAATCGTCTGAAACTTTGTTACATGTAGTTTTTGATCCATGATGGATGCTTCTGGTACGTGAGATACGGCATATTGTTGCGTGACACGCATCAAAGTCCAGCTAGCTGATAAGTAATTACTAATCTTTAATCTCAGTAACTTTAACCTAGAATGTCTTTTTATTTTGCTCGTGGCGTTAACTGTGCCTTTTTTTTCTACTCAAGAGTCGTTGGAGTTACGTTATTCTCAAAATCTTTTGTCCTTGTTTCTCTTCAGAGACTCTGATGACACGAAGCGGTTTTTCTGTTTACCGTCACTAAGCAAGCCAATTAATTATGCCTATTTTTCAGAGATATCGAAAGGGTATCTTTGAGTTTTCCAGATCGGGTGAGGCCATGTCGGAGTGGAATTAAACCTTCCACTAAACTTTGTGCCATCTCATCGTTTTGTTTGTTGTTATCATGTAATTTATATGTAATATCATGCAGCCAGCGTGTACCGTATCATTGAGAGGACTGCAGGCCAGTCTAGCTTGACCAGACTTATTTTGCTGGCAGGTTCCTCACCTTCGATCCAGATCCACGTCTCAATCGCCCGGCCAAGAAAATTGAATAATAAAAATCAGTCAAACTTGATTAGCCGGCAAGGCAGTGAAGAGACCCTTCCCGTGCGCGCACTGCGCCCCCGTTGCCCCCCTTCCCCCACGGGGCTAACCCCGATCGGGCCACGCTAGGCTGGGGTCGTCGGCACTTGTTTCCTCGCATTAGTTCCGCGGCGGTTCAGTGTGGAAATTCGTGTGAAATTTCGAGCTGGCCGCATCTGGCACGCATCAGTCCGTAATTGTGTTGTTCTAAGATCAGAAATTGATATATATGCAGTAGAGAAACCTCAGGATGAATTCCTAGGTAGAACCATATTTGCTAGCCTCATGTGTGAGTGAGCGTTGATGGCTGCACGGCACGTCTTTTTCATCGGTTACAGACACGGATCGTTTCTGATCGTTGATCGGCCAAGTTATTGCGGATGATTCATGACCAAAATATCATTTCAATAACAGGAAAACGTCCCCTTTTACCATAATATCTTAACTAACAGTTAAGATTCCAATTACCTGAATACACACAAGGGAACCAATATTACAATCAAGAGTTTAAACAGTTTAATCACCTGAAGGAAAGGGTTGTTTTCGTCCTGGGAAATGTTACCCGGTAACATGATTGCTACAATTACTCCAGTGTTTTCAAAAATGAACATGGGGTTTCCGTTAATCATAACGCTGTGTAAATTCGGGTCCGAGCATAATTGGACGAACACGGGCGGGTTTGTTATCCATGCTGAAACTTTTCTGCTAAGATTTGAGTCAACATAGCACGTTTCGATGTTTTAAACTTTTGACTTCCTCCATCAAAGCTGACTGCATTATGTAATTGCGGTAACTAGTTTGAAACATTATGTCATGATTATTTCCTACCAGTACGTGAACTTAAGACCTTTGTTGTAAATTGGATTATCTGCATACTTATGACCCGGTGTTATACTTCTCGTTCTTAGTGAATTGAGATCGTAGTGTCCGAAGTCCAAGATAGACTCATGACCTGAACTCTCCGCGGGACTGGAAGCAGAAACCGCTCACGGAAGCGTGTATCTGAAAGTTAACACACACACAAAATCAAAGTTATTTTTGAATTGACGGTTATTTTGACAAGCCCTCAACTTTTATGCTGTAAATAATCCAGAGCCGATTCCTATTGATCTAAAGCAGAGAAAGAGTCAGCGGTATTATTGGATTATTCCCAGCGTCGCCCATCACTCTAAAATTGTCAAAATTGTCAAAAAATGGTTGTGTTTTTTTCCCCAGCCAAGTTCCGGTTTAGTTTTGTTTGACTGATGGACTTGAACTTACCGCAAGAGTGTATCTGGGGCCAGTCTTTGCGGAGCACGAGACCGCTCGTAATTTGTCACCTCACTTCCCTACCTGAAACTGCCAGGTCGTACTACCGAATGTTGACGATCTTGACCGAGGTCTTCACCTCAGGGAAAGCATCTCAGACTCCGAGACCGCTCAGGAATCAGAAAGTAAAAAGGTAAGAGGTTCAAACTTCAAAAAGGTGGGGAGGAATGTTGTTTACTGTTTACCCTCGCTGCACACCAATGGTCGACCGTTATGTGGGACTCCCTCAGCGTCGAGTTGGTGAAAGGCGGTCATTTGTCAATGACAGCGAACTCCCACTTTGAGTGCTAGGTCCACCCTAGTTGTGTGTTTCGCTTTTAAGGAAATGTGTTTTTTCAGATGAAACTTTTTTTTTTGGTGGCGTGTCACGACACACCTGGTGTTTGGTGGTCTTGTGGGCTTTGGTTCTCAACCCCTAAAAATGCCGATTTCGGAATAAATTTTCAATCTCTCTGAATTTTCTGAAGAGTTTTTTTACAGTACAGTCTGGGAGGTATTTTTTTCATATAAGTCAACGATCACAACAAATTGGTGATTTGAAATTTGATGATTGTTTTTTTTATGGTGGGGGGGATAACTTTTTTTGGGTAGCTGCATCTTTTCTTCGGCAAGGCAAGAATCACTCTTGCCGTGCTTAACACACTCGTGAAATATTTTCCCCAAACTGTTGCCGTTATTATCGCGTCTTGCCTTGAAGACCTTACCCGTACAGTTCGTGAACAAAATGCCGTAATATAGACTCGTCATGCGTACGGAATCAAAGGATCTGATGAGCATATAGCAGGATGTTATTCTCGCGCAACCTGCTCGTTATTAATGAGCTGCGAACCGACATTGTCATCAATCTCTACCCCTCCTAATAACTCGCCTATTTCGACACCACCAAAATCTATATCGATCATTAAAAGAACAATTTTAATCGTCATCGAAATAGCCTGACACGCTTGCCAGGAATTTTCCCGCGTTTTCTTTTCCTTCAAAAGACACGGTTACCAGAGCGCCTCGTTTGACGATCGTGGCGCGCGTCTCGTGACCTCACTCTCTTAAGTTTTATGGCGTGCATTAATCTTCTCCCCATCCCAATAAGAGGCAGAAAAAACACTATACCTCATCCTTGGATGGGTTTGGTTAAGGAACCAACAAAAACCATCATAATTCCTCAGGAATTCTTACCGTTGGATAAAGGAGAATTCAAAAGGCACATAAATAAAAAGTAGCGTTGAGCAAGATAAGAGTAGATACGTGTGTCCGCGGTGTGGAATGTCAGCGTGTGTACTCAGAACGATTCGCCGTTGATTTATTCGTCTCATCCGGTATAAACATCGGTGGCTCCACAGACTAGACTCAGGTATGGTAAGGAATAAGTTGACAGGTTATCATCTCGAGAATGAGGAATCAAAATCGCGGTCAGAGAGAAATAAATCGTGGCATATTTTCCCCAAATTAAAAAATTGTGCGTAGGTCTGATGAATGATTGCCTTATTTCCAGACTCATTATTTTGCAGTTTGTGTCACGTCAAACCAGACATTGAGATTAAATTCTTTGGGGATTTTAAAATTGGCACATTTTTTTTCTGCCAACAAAACGTGTCCGCAAATAGTTGAAATAATGGATTGTCCCATGATAATGTATGGTTTTCGTATCATTAAAGTGAGGGAAACAACGCCAGTCAAACTAGTCAACTAAAACAGTCTGTCAAGTAAAAAATTACAGTCAAAATGAGTATGAGGAAACGACGGTGAGAGTCGGTCCAGAGTGTGACGTCATAGGAAGTTAGTGTCAATTACTTTCAAACATCGCCCTCAAGCGTTGAGGAACATAGACAATTATTACGTACTCCAACAGTTACATCAAATCTCAGTGTCATTCAATTTGACTGCACATTCCCTTTGGCCAACTAAATCTGTTGGACACAACAGTTTCCAATTTCTAATCTACCGCTGGGTCACTCTTTAATGACTGTAGACAAAAATAATAGGCCTACTTGAAAATATGTATTTATGGCAGTCATGCTTTTCATCTGGTTTTCACTGGATCCATTTGTATTTATCAATCTGTTCCTTGATATTCATGTCTATCTATCTGTTTGACTGATGACCCATCTTTGATTTATTATAATGATTGAAAACTGTTTAATTTCTCTCTTCTTGCCGAGACGATGATGCATTCCTTCTCGTAATGAGAAGTTATGGCCACTGTCGAAAACGCCAAAGAAACATAGAATTCTTTGAAAAAGGAACCTCTTCTTTATGGGAACTTACACAAGACAGTCTGTTTCCACTTGTGTTTTATTTCGAATATTCTCAATAAACACGGCACAGATAACCTTTGTGATCTGTCTCGCTACAGCGCTCGGAGCTGTCCAATAAAACTCCATTTTAACCACTCGAATATGACTGTGATTTACGCAGGCCCACACAATAATAATGAAGCATTCCGCCACAAAACATAGTGCACCACTTCTGGTGAAAATGAATTATGTCCTAATTAGTGGCATATCAATTTACGTTGGTTCACATGACTGTCGACACTGTGAACTCGGCCTCAACCGGGAACCGCATAGGAGGAGACAAGAACAGCCAACAAACAAACGTGTCGTGCAACGCTCACGCTCATGACAAAGAATAAAGCTCAACTTGTTAAAAGTTATTATTCTTCTGCTTGATTTCCTCTCCTCTCAAAAGTTAGTCACGTCAAAACTGTTTCCGTTATTTAGTGCTAACATCTCCGAATCCGTTTTGATAGATAAATTGATGTAAAAGTTATTTACAACATTTGGTATTATTTTCTATTGCTTAACTAATAGCTTATTGCTCTAAGAAACATCAAAACCACAATTTACCTTAAATTGGTATTTTAAGTGGGGCGATACCAGTTAAGCAAACTGAATAAAATCCCGACCAAAGAAGAAGACGAAGAAAAAACATTCTCTGAAATGAATGAAGAGTTTGTTCACTTCGCATCGCCTACGTCAACAAAAGTGATTCACTACAATTCAACCAGCGGAAGGGTACAAGGGACTCTTTAAAGTAACACCTCAATAATTGGCAGGAATGGGGGATTCACAGAAGAGGATCAACATCAGAGATCAATCCCTCTATTTACTGATTTGGCAGAGTAATTGTCCAGTAAATACCGTGCCTCGTTATAAAAGTGGCCGTCAAAAGAGCAACTCCGCGGTGGTGAAGACAGCGGGTCAGTCATCTCGACGCGACGGGCCACCCTGGTGCCTTTGCCCGTTGTCATTCAGCCGCGTCGCCCGCTGACTCGCCCAAACCCTTTCACTCGTTGTACAATCTCTCAAAACAAGCCATTAATCCGCGGTCTAGAGCCGGCGAGATTTACCCGTTATAATGACCAAAATGAGTGGGAAGTATTGTCCACTTCTTTATCGCCCGTAAACAAATTTGACAACAAAAACGAAAACAGCGGTTTAAAAGCTTAAAGAGGGGAACTAACTACCACCATACAAGAGGATAGACGGTAGAATAAGATCGGCCAGATCGACCAAAGAGAGAAAGACATTCAATTTAGCATTTCTCCGATTCAAATCGCCAGCAGATGAGCATTTTGTGTCTGAACAGTCAAAGAAAACAGCGGCACGATTGGGTGGGATTTAGATGGAATCACTTCCATTGATCCTCACGGTGTATTTGACTCATTAAGAAGGCTGTAAAGGCAGCCTCAGTTAAATAAGGAAAAATCTACCTGTAACTTGTAAATAGTGCTGCAGTACGTATTCCGTTTGTACTGTAAATAGTGGAAACTGAAAAAAAGCATATTGTTCATCAGTTTAGATTTCATGTTTCTTCACAAAAATTAATGAAGACCAAATCATACGCCAGACAGCGGGTTAACTGATCTATTTCGATAAAGTCATTCATCACACCCATTGTATTGTGTATTATTGACATATTGGTATAATAATAGTTTAATCTCCATTCATAGTTTAGATTTCATGATTCAAGCTTGATGAAAGTGAAAAGTCAAACTACAGAGTGAAGGAATTATGCCTCAATTTTCCCAAATCGATGGACAGCGTGACCACTTTGTACGAAGGCAAAGCAAATGCAGTCCGAATTCAGAGCGTCATGTCCAAAACGTCCAAAACTTCAACAGCATAAATCTCGTAATAATGTTTTGGGTACTTTTGTTCATATATTGGTATATAATATTCCTGATTTTCGTAACACTTTTTCTAAATGAATGATTTTGTACAACGGATTTCTTTGCCGTAAAGATGCATGACACACGACAAGTTGTCGTGTCTGATATGAGTCAGTTAGCATAATGACATATTTGACGATTAAGCTAGGTGACTGTTCTGACTAATTGTGTATAGTCGAGAAAAAGTGTAAGGCGTGTGGGTGAAGTCAAATAATAATGTGATGATCTCCGTGTGAATAAGAAATTAAGGTGACCGGTTTCACATCACGGTTCACATGCATGTCCGTTTTCTTTCTATGGTATACGTGAAGGAAGTAAACAATGAAGATGCTTTCAAAATCCTTAACGATTGTTTAGTATCTTCTGTAATCCTTAAGCAAAAATTAAGGTTAATTTTTATGATTTATGCCTTGCTGGAATGTAATATATTATTATTTTACAAATACATAATCAATTTAACAAAGGCAAAATACCTAATTTTCAGCTTGGATTGGTTTTGATTTTTTACAAACATGAAACTTGAGATGAGATCATGGCAAGCAAGATATTTTACCGGCCCTGATTGCCGACACGTATCCTCCTTTCTCGATCCCAATTTTACCCCCGGGGCATGGATTAGTCGTCTTCTTCATACACTCCCCTTGCCACTGTTTAACTTGTTTCATTCTTTCACCAAAAAGTGAGCGCCAAAATGGCAGCAATTAAGCGGGCTTGAAAATCCCCGCAAATCGCTCTCAAGCCGGCCTTGCTTTGTTGCGGCAGCGCCGGGCGCTTTGCCCCTACGCCTCGCTCCAGACACCGCGGCGGAATCTTAGAGTGCGCAAGAGATAAAGCTGTCAAAATCGACTCATTTGAAGCTGGGCTGGATACATGTTTACCAAGTAGCTGAGTTTTCTGTACAAAGGGATCTCTCACTTTTTCCTTTTCGTCAGTCTCGAAAGGTCTTTGGGTCAAATCCAGACGTA